GTAGTAGTAGTAGTAGTAGCAGGAGTAGAAGAAAGTAGTAGTAGTAGCAGCAGTAGTAGTAGTAGTAAGTATAAGTAGTAGTAGTAAGTATAAGTAGTAGTAGTAGTAAGTATAAGTAGTAGTAAGTATAAGTAGTAGTATAAGTATAAGTATAAGTATAAGTATAAGTATAAGTAGTAGTAGTAGTAGTAGTAGTAGTAGAGTAGTAGTAGTAGTAGCAGTAGTATAAGTATAATAAGTAGTAGTAGTAGTAGTAGTAGTCGTGGTGGTAGCGGTGGTAGCGGTAGTGGTGGTAGTAGTGGTGGTAGTAGTAGTAGTTGTTGTTGTATTGGTTCTGGTACTGGTACAATTGGTCGTGATATTGGTTGCCGTTTTTTAGATTGGAGACAGCCGTTGCAGAAAACACCACCGACGTAGAAAACATCGTTTGCAGACGCAAAAACATTGCGCACCGTCGCAAAAAAATACCGACGAACCGATGCAGAAAACATCGACAAAGTTATTAACACAAAAAATGCCGTAACCAGTTACCGTCGCAAAAAACACTGCTAACTGACGCAAAAAAACCGAAACCGAATTGCAAAAAACCTTCCCATGCTTCATTGCAACGGTAAAACCTGTCCAAAGAGTTCCCATGAGACCAATTTATCATTGTTCGAATTGAAGCCCCTATCTTTTTCCACCTGGACACCTTTTATGTTTTTTTTCATATGAGCACCCTCCTGAACCTAGTAGTTTTTGAGCGGAACCCGTGGTTGTGGCTCCCAACATCTCGCTTTCATCCAAGGATACCGTGGAACGCTTGGATCCTCGGGAAGGTCGCTGGCAAGAGGCGCGGTCCGCGGTCCGCGGCGGCCCGCTGGCCTGGAGGAGCCCGCTTCGGGGACGGCGATGTGTACCGGTTGAAGAGTGTGGTCCAGGATTGATGGGCCCAAGGGGGAGGAGCAAAACACTCAAGAACAAAGACCGAGACCATGGTTTGGGTTGACCGTGGTAATGTTGGTGTTATGTAAACGGATGGTTTGGAAGACATCAACCTGCAGGGTGGCAGTCCCCAAACACAGGGGCACTCTGATTTGTTCCATCAACCGGCCATACACTCGCCGGCTCTTGTTGAAGGCGATGGGAAATGATGCGAACCATGGCCGAAGACCATTCCAAAATTCTGACCAAAGCCAAAGCTCACCGTTGTGTGTGTTTGGCGCAATCAATTTGGAACTTTGCTGGTGGGATTTTTCAGATGGCCAAGAGACTTTTGTTTTTTCCTTCCTTGGCTCCTAACGTAGCTCAGCTCGTCGTAGCTCCCATGAGTGGGATGCAATCGGGCCCTGAAGCACCAATCCTGTGACGTTTGTGGGCCATTGCAGGCCATGTGGGCCACATCTTTCACATCTTGGAGTGCCTGGACTGGGACGTAGGAGCATAGACTAGTTATACTGGCCACCGTGACGGTCAAACGGGATTGTTCCATAAACTCGGGTGGAATCGGTGGATTGTTCACACGTAGACTCTTGATGAATAGACACCTTTTTTTTGGTGAATAAGAAACCCTCTCCTGTTTTGGAAACACCTCTTCTACCCATCTCGCTTCTGAAGGTTGTCCCTCGGTGAGAAGCACTGCAGCCAGCATTCGACTGAAACTGCAAACGAAAAGGTCCACTGTACACCCACTCGGAAAACCGAGACAAAAAGAAACAAGCTTAGAGAGGAGCAAAATCACGACAAAGAAATTCCCAGGTCTGGAGGTTGCCTTTGATGACACGACGTGCCACATCAGTGAGATACGCAAGCTCCCGCCGGTTGTTTCGAAAAGGCTGAGCGCCAACAAGTGCACCAACTGGCATGGTTTTGCCCCAAGAAACATTAAGGTGAGCATCATGAAGTCCTGGCACAAAGGACACAGTAGATTTACGCTGCAGCAAACGAATAGCCTCCTTCATCCATTTCACAAGATCACGAAAGGCAGCAAATTCATTATCATGAATGGTCTCACATTGAAAACCACGGCAGTGGAACAGAACCGCTAGCTCCGCATAGGACACAGCTGCATCGGCTGATGTTTGCCATCGGAGCTGTTGAAGGAATGTAACAAGGTTATTCCAATCTTTGGCCGTGCCTTTCCATGGAGAGATGGGTTGGGAAGGCAAGGGATTGACACACATCCATTGGTAGTGCTCAGCGCAGGCATCCCAGGGTAACCGAGGGAACTGAACAGCAGGGGAAATGCGCTCTTCATCTCTCTCATCTTCCGACTCCTCCTGGAAAGGCGGTAGGCTGGTACCGATCAGAAAGGACAGTTTTGTTAACCATTCTTGGCGTTCCAGCACTGCCTGGCACAAAGACGGGTATACTTCCGCGTTGATTGAAGCATTCGACAATGCTGCTGCTTTGGCAGAGTGATCCGCCTGGCGTGTTTTTTTTGCGCAGTAGTTTTGTGAACACGGGCCATATCGTCCTGTAGCATACATTCAGGGATGTGCTCAAGAACGTGGGAGGTTATCCACGTGCATTGCAAGGCAGCAGGTGACTGCTGTGAACGCTCGATCCAAACAGTCAGCAAGAATTCCCACCATGCAACATGTGGCCAAAAAGGTACAATTTTCATGCGTTCAGTCATGAAAGAGATATGTTGAACCAAAGTTTGACAATCGGAAAAAACGCAAACAGGGCTGGACGAAGTACAAAATGCAACGAGGACAGCCCAAAATTCAGCTGTGTAGCTGGAAAGTGCCCAGTGATGCACTGGTCCAGCGGCAATGGTCTCACCGTTGACATCGACAATTGCAAAACCAGCGCACGAACATGCAAAATGCTGCGGCCACATTACAGAACCATCAATCTGTCCAAACTTCCTTCCGGGGCCCCGTAAGATTCCACACAGCTAATTGAATCTCTCTAGGGTTGCTTATCTTTGCACGATGGGCAAACACGAGCCATGGGTGCTCGACAATACCAAGAAACTCGAAGTTTTGTCCTAATCATGTGCAACTGGAGGCGGGTTGGTGGCACGGACTTCGGAGCATTCACAAACAAGGTGAGGCAAGGTCTCCTTGTGCTGACCACACATTCGACACTGGGCATCGTCTGTTCTCTTGGCAGCATGTAGGCGGTCTTTCGTCAACATGCAACCAACCACCTGAGATTCAAAAAAGGCAGTGGGTGGGACATCACCGGGTAGGGTGAGTTTGGACTGAGTTCTGAATGTTAACGACAAGAAAGGATCAAGCACACCTGCAAGGGGACGAAAATCCTTGCGTTGCTGCAAGGAGGCTTGTGCGTAGCAGGTTTGCTTGGCCATGAACTTCAACATGGGTCGGACATTGTGTGGGGACAAAGTCATGAAATCGCCAATTACAGTAGACCGAAAGTGGACACAACCAGCGTGAAGCTGGAACACAAAGAAGCGAAAAACTTGGCGAAAGGCAGAGACAACTGCATGCTTATGATGGCAATCAGCAAGGATAGCAGGAGATACCTCAAGCAGTCAATGATCACACGGTAGTGACGTGCACACAGGGGCTCGACACGATGTGGCTGCGCTAACAAAGCAAGAACCAAAAACCTTGCACACCAATGCGGGCGCTTACCCCAAATGACATTTACTACCTCACTTTGGATGCGTGCAAGTATACGTGCGTGAATGTTATTAAGGTAAGGGCAATACGTGCTCTTCATATGTCGGATTCTATGAATCAACATTGAATCAACATTTCTATACATCACGAGGTTTACAAGGTTTGTCACCCTGTGAAAGCCGAGACAGGTTCCCTCCTCTCGCAGGCGCCTTTGATGCCTGGTCGACGGCGCTGCTTCGCTGCCAGCTTCGGAATCGATCGACGGGAGCACCCAGGGGCAGGAACCCTCGAAGAGGGAGGGTTCCGGAAAGATCAGGGTTCCGACAGGCACGCAGAAGAGGTACCAAGTGGGCAAAGCATGTGGAAAAACACAGAGTATATTGGCTCACACCATCTAATTAGATTCCTTCGTCAGCTCGAAAACAAAGCCGTTTTTCTTCTCTTCGTCCACACAGCAAGTGGATGAGAATGTTTGAGAAACGTCTAACGGGTGTTGCGAACGCAAGCCATCCAGGTTGGGAATGGGAATGGAGAAACCATGAGAAACCTATGTAATCAAAGGAAGTTTAGTGCGCAAAACTTCCGTGTTACAGACATTCAACAGCTGTTCAATACAGCACTCATCATACACCACTCATCATACACCACTCATCATAGACCACTTATCATACACCACTCATCATACACCACTCATCATACACCACTCATCAT